GCCACCTTTGACGGCACGCCACGGACACGCCCTTCAACGTACAGTCACAAAATGAAATGCGTTCATTCAGCAGCATGTTGTGACTGTACTGCCCAATTTTGAAGAAGATCCGTTGAAACGTGTAGGAGGAGATCATTCATATAGAAGCCCTGAAAGGCCAAAATGACATCACAGTGTGACATTTGTTCTAAATGGCCAACTTTGAGGGCACGCCACGGACACGCCCTTCAACGTACAGTCACAAAATATAATGCGTTCATTCAGCACCATGTTGTGACTGTACTGCCCAATTTTGAAGAAGATCCGATAGAACCTGTAGGAGGGGATCATTCAAATAAAAGCCCTGAAAGGCCAAAATGACATCACAGTGTGACATTTGTTCAAAATGGCGAACTTTGAGGGCACGCCACGGACACGCCCTTCAACGTACAGTCACAAAATATAATGCGTTCATTCAGCACCATGTTGTGACTGGACTGTTTAATTTTGAAGAAGATCCGATAGAAGCTGTAGGAGGGCATCATTCAAATAGAAGCCCTGAAATGCAAAAATGACATCACAGTGTGACATTAGTTCTAAATGGCCAACTTTGAGGGCACGCCACGGACACGCCCTTCAACGTACAGTCACCAAATATAATGCGTTCATTCAGCACCATGTTTTGACTGTACTGACCAATTTTGAAGCAGATCCGATAAATTCCCTAGGATCAGTTAGTTCACAAAGAAGCCCAAAAGGTCAAAATGAGCACAAAATGGCTGCCAAAAGTGCAAATTTTAAATGAAAATAGCCGACTTCCTGTGGGATTTGAGGTATGGGTCCAAGTGGCTTTTTTGTACGCCCCGGCACATTATACATGCCTATTGAGTTTCGTACATATCGATGAAACGTGGCGCCGGGGCTGATGTTTTTTATCCTATAGGGGGCGCTACAAGCACGAGAAACACGATTTTTGGTATGTGAGCTTCAGGCACCACTCTACACGTGCCCAGTGAATTTCATATTCATAACTATTATGGTGTGTGCACAGTGATTTACCCTGCCACCAGAGTGCCACCTAGTGGCGTGATTTTTTTCCTTTTTAGGTGAGCCTCAGGGAGCCATGGGGAAGCAGCATACAAAGTTTCATCTTAATCACACATACCGTTGTAGAGCTATAAACTCCTTCATTTTAAAGAGCGCCACCTTGTGGTGATGACCTGAAATTGTGCACGATGCTTAAGGAAGACATGGGGAACTATGGACCCAAGGGTGGTGTAAATCGGACATACCAACGTGGAGAAATACCCCACTTCCTTTTTGACGAAAAATCAACAGGAAGTGCTAATTTTATAACTTCCTTATGTTTTATAATATCAAAATTCTTCAAATTACTTTTGTTGTCAGGACGGTCCACAGATGAAACGTGCAAAGTTTCGTGCGCATCGGACAAAGTGTGTAGGAGGAACACGAAAAAGTGATTTATGGACATTTTGCGCTCTAGAAAAAAAAATATTAGGCGGAAGTGGGCGTGGCCTATATGGGGAGGTTCAGCCCCATTCACCGAACGCGTGGATATAAGGTTTTTGAATGTGAGACAAACTATGCGGGAGTTATTAGCCTTTCAAAATCGGCCGAAACAGCGCCACCTAGAGTCCTACCTACTGGCTGATCCGCATGTGACGCATAGAATCTCTAAGTTAAATGAGGCTTCACAAATCTGCCAAATAAAATTGAGAGTGTGTAAATGCGCAAGGCTCAAAATCGCAGTTAAAGTGGCCTAAAAATAATAATAATAATTAAAGCTGCAAGCAGCGTTGGGCGGGACCTCGCACCCGGCGCTCGTCGGGGCGCCGCAAACGCGTCACGTGCGGTCGGGGTGCGCCGAGGCCACGCACGTGCCTTCGTAAGAAGCGCGAACCGCAACGCGAACACGTCACGTAAATCTGCTCCAAATCAGCTCCGTATCGCCACGCAGCGCTTCCTTCCTGGTGCCAGTATGCTGTGCTTTCACTTTATCTGAATCTTGTCACGTAGACAAGTTCAGGGCGGGACTGTAATACGTAGGCTGATGTTATGAGGACGCGTTCAGGGCGAGACTGTTACAGAATATATGAAGTTTATTGGAAATTGGACATTGCACACTGAAGTTACGAGTACCGCTTAATGGAAAATCATCTGAATTCGACAAGGGGTCAGTGGCACGCAGTTTGACGTACAGTCACAAATAGCTCAATTCTTCATGAACACTTTGTTTTATAAGACTGTCCAATTTTGAAGACGATTTGATAAGTCCCCTATTTATCTTGCAATTTAATAAGTGACTTCCAGCGGTTTCACACTATGCTCCACGAACAATACTCCCTAGGAAATATGGTTTGTAGATGTGGCTAGTGGGAGCGGAGGGGTGTTTGTGTTTCATCACTTTGAAAAAAAGACCACAGAATTCAAAATGTCCAACTTTGACGAGACACCTGGGACACGCCCTTCAACGTACAGTCATAAATAGCACAACTTGTAATCAGCAAGATTATTCAAGAGTACTGTCAAGTTTTGAAGCAGATCTGATAAAGTCTCAAGGACTTTGTTTGTTCAAATACAGGACCACGGGCTTCAAAATGGCCACCTTTGACGGCACGCCACGGACACGCCCTTCAACGTACAGTCACAAAATGAAATGCGTTCATTCAGCACCATGTTGTGACTGTACTGCCCAATTTTGAAGAAGATCCGTTAGAACGTGTAGGAGCAGAACATTCATATAGAAGCCCTGAAAGGCCAAAATGACATCACAGTGTGACATTTGTTCTAAATGGCCAACTTTGAGGGCACGCCACGGACACGCCCTTCAATGTACAGTCACAAAATATAATGCGTTCATTCAGCCCCATGTTGTGACTGGACTGCCCAATTTTGAAGCAGATCCGATAGAAGCTGTAGGAGGGCATCATTCAAATAGAAGTTCTGAAATGCAAAAATGACATCACAGTGTGACATTTGTTCAAAATGGCCAACTTTGAGGGCACGCCACGGACACGCCCTTCAACGTACAGTCACCAAATATAATGCGTTCATTCAGCACCATGTTGTGACTGTACTGACCAATTTTGAAGCAGATCCGATAAATTCCCTAGGAGCAGTTAGTTCTAAAACAAGCCCAAAGAGTCAAAATGACCACAAAATGGCTGCCAAAAGTGCAAATTTTCAATGAAAATAGCCGACTTCCTGTGGGATTTGAGGTATGGGTCCAAGAGGCTTTTTTGTACGCCCCGGCACATTATACATGCCTATTGAGTTTCGTACATATCGGTGAAACGTGGCGCCGGGGCTGATGTTTTTTTAACCTGTAGGGGGCGCTACAAGCACGAGAAACCCGATTTTTGGTATGTCAGCTTCAGGCACCACTCTACACGTGCTCTGTGAATTACATATTCATAACTATTACAGTATCCGCACAGTGATTTACCCTGCCACCAGAGTGCCACCTAGTGGCGTGATTTTTTTCCTTTTTAGGGGAGCCTCAGGGAGCCATGGGGGAAGCAGCGTACCAAGTTTTATCCTAATCACACATACCGTTGTAGAGCTATAAACTCCTTCATTTGAAAGAGCGCCACCTTGTGGTGATGACCTGAAATTGTGCACGATGCCTAAGGAAGACATGGGGAACTATGGACCCAAGCTTGGTGTAAATCGGACATACCAATGTGGAGAAATGGTCCACTTCCTTTTTTGACGAAAAATCAACAGGAAGTGCTAATTTTATAACTTCCTTATTTTTTAAAATATCAAAAATGTTCAAATTACTTTTGTTGTCAGGGCGGTCCACAGATGCTACGTGCAAAATTTCGTGCAAATCGGACAAAGTGTGTAGGAGGAACACGAAACAGACATTTATGGACATTTTGCGCTCTAGAAAAAAAAAAATCTAGGCGGAAGTGGGCGTGGCCTATATGGGGAGGTTCAGCTCCATTCACCGAACGCGTGGATATAAGGTTTTTGAATGTGAGACAAACTATGCGGGAGTTATTAGCGTATCGAAATTGGCCTAAAAGTAGCGCCACCTAGTGGCCTTCCTAGTGGCTGATCTGCATGTGACGCATAAAATCTCCGAGTTTAATGAGGCTTGACAAATGTGCCAAATAAAATGCGAATATTCGAAATGTTTAGGGGGTGAAAAATGCGCTCAATGTTCTGAAAAATAATAATAAGAATAAACATAGGAAAAACAATATGGACCTTCCAGTTCATACTGGCTCGGTCCCTAATTAAAGCTGCAAGCAGCGTTGGGCGGGACCTCGCACCCGGCGCTCGTCGGGGCGCCGCAAACACGTCACGTGCGGTCGGGGTGCGCCGAGGCCACGCACGTGCTGTCGTTACAAGCGCGTACCGCAACGCGAATACGTCACGTAAATCTGCTCCAAATCAGCTCCGTATCGCCACGCAGCGCTTCCTTCCTGTTGCCAGTATGCTGTGCTTTCACTTTATCTGAATCTTGTCACGTAGACAAGTTCATGGCGGGACTGTAATACGTAGGCTGATGTTATGAGGACGCGTTCAGGGGGAGACTGTTACAGAATATATGAAGTTTATTGGAAATTGGACATTGCACACTGAAGTTACGAGTACCGCTTAATGGAAAATCATCTGAATACGACAAGGGGTCAGTGGCACGCAGTTTGACGTACAGTCACAAATAGCTCAATTCTTCATGTACACTTTGTTTTTATAAGACTGTCCAATTTTGAAGTCGATTTGATAAGTCCCCTATTTATCTTGCAATTTAATAAGTGACTTCCAGCAGTTTCACACTATGCTCCACGAACAATACTCCCTAGGAAATATGGTTTTTAGATGTGGCTAGTGGGAGCGGAGGGGTGTTTGTGTTTCATCACTGAAAAAAAAGACCACAGAATTCAAAATGTCCAACTTTGACGAGACACCTGGGACACGCCCTTCAACGTACAGTCATAAATAGCACAACTTGTAATCAGCAAGATTATTCAAGAGTACTGTCAAGTTTTGAAGCAGGTCTGATAAAGTCTCAAGGAGTTTGTTTGTTCAAATACAGGACCACGGGCTTCAAAATGGCCGCCTTTGACTGCACGCCACGGACACGCCCTTCAACGTACAGTCACAAAATGAAATGCGTTCATTCACCAGCATGTTGTGACTGTACTGCCCAATTTTGAAGAAGATCCGATAGAACCTGTAGGAGGAGATCATTCAAATAGAAGCCCTGAAAGGCCAAAATTACATCACAGTGTGACATTTGTTCAAAATGGCCAACTTTGAGGGCACGCCACGGACACGCCCTTCAATGTACAGTCACAAAATATAATGCGTTCATTCAGCACCATGTTGTGACTGGACTGCCCAATTTTGAAGAAGATCCGATAGAAGCTGTAGGAGGGCATCATTCAAATAGAAGCCCTGAAATGCAAAAATGACATCACAGTGTGACATTTGTTCAAAATGGCCAACTTTGAGGGCACGCCACGGACACGCCCTTCAACGTACAGTCACCAAATATAATGCGTTCATTCAGCACCATGTTGTGACTGTACTGACCAATTTTGAAGCAGATCCGATAAATTCCCTAGGAGCAGTTAGTTCTAAAACAAGCCCAAAGAGTCAAAATGACCACAAAATGGCTGCCAAAAGTGCAAATTTTCAATGAAAATAGCCGACTTCCTGTGGGATTTGAGGTATGGGTCCAAGAGGCTTTTTTGTACGCCCCGGCACATTATACATGCCTATTGAGTTTCGTACATATCGGTGAAACGTGGCGCCGGGGCTGATGTTTTTTTAACCTGTAGGGGGCGCTACAAGCACGAGAAACCCGATTTTTGGTATGTCAGCTTCAGGCACCACTCTACACGTGCTCTGTGAATTACATATTCATAACTATTACAGTATCCGCACAGTGATTTACCCTGCCACCAGAGTGCCACCTAGTGGCGTGATTTTTTTTCCTTTTTAGGGGAGCCTCAGGGAGCCATGGGGAAGCAGCGTACCAAGTTTTATCCTAATCACACATACCGTTGTAGAGCTATAAACTCCTTCATTTGAAAGAGCGCCACCTTGTGGTGATGACCTGAAATTGTGCACGATGCCTAAGGAAGACATGGGGAACTATGGACCCAAGCTTGGTGTAAATCGGACATACCAATGTGGAGAAATGGTCCACTTCCTTTTTTGACGAAAAATCAACAGGAAGTGCTAATTTTATAACTTCCTTATTTTTTAAAATATCAAAAATGTTCAAATTACTTTTGTTGTCAGGGCGGTCCACAGATGCTACGTGCAAAATTTCGTGCAAATCGGACAAAGTGTGTAGGAGGAACACGAAACAGACATTTATGGACATTTTGCGCTCTAGAAAAAAAAAAATCTAGGCGGAAGTGGGCGTGGCCTATATGGGGAGGTTCAGCTCCATTCACCGAACGCGTGGATATAAGGTTTTTGAATGTGAGACAAACTATGCGGGAGTTATTAGCGTATCGAAATTGGCCTAAAAGTAGCGCCACCTAGTGGCCTTCCTAGTGGCTGATCTGCATGTGACGCATAAAATCTCCGAGTTTAATGAGGCTTGACAAATGTGCCAAATAAAATGCGAATATTCGAAATGTTTAGGGGGTGAAAAATGCGCTCAATGTTCTGAAAAATAATAATAAGAATTAAAGCTGCAAGCAGCGTTGGGCGGGACCTCGCACCCGGCGCTCGTCGGGGCACGCCGCAAACGCGTCACGTGCGGTCGGGGTTCGCCGAGGCCACGCCACGTGCCGTCGTAACAAGCGCGGACGGCAACGCGAATACGTCACGTAAAACTGCTCCAAATCAGCTCCGTATCGCCACGCAGCGCTTCCTTCCTTTTGCCAGTATGCTGTGCTTTCACTGTATCTGAATCTTGTAACGTAGACAAGTTCATGGCGGGACTGAAATACGTAGGCTGATGTTATGAGGACGCGTTCAGGGCGAGACTGTTACAGAATATATGAAGTTTATTGGAGATTGGACATTGCACACTGAAGTTACGAGTACCGTTTAATGGAAAATGGTCTGAATTCGACAAGGGGTCAGTGGCACGCAGTTTGACGTACAGTCACAAATAGCTCAATTCTTCATGTACACTTTGTTTTTATAAGACTGTCCAATTTTGAAGACGATTTGATAAGTCCCCTATTTATCTTGCACTTTAATAAGTGACTTCCAGCGGTTTCACACTATGCTCCACGAACAATACTCCCTAGGAAATATGATTTGTAGATGTGGCTAGTGGGAGCGGAGGGGTGTTTGTGTTTCATCACTTTGAAAAAAAAGACCACAGAATTCAAAATGTCCAACTTTGACGAGACACCTGGGACACGCCCTTCAACGTACAGTCATAAATAGCACAACTTGTAATCAGCAAGATTATTCAAGAGTCCCGTCAAGTTTTGAAGCAGATCTGATAAAGTCTCAAGGAGTTTGTTTGTTCAAATACAGGACCACTGGCTTCAAAATGGCCAACTTTGACGGCAGGCCACGGACACGCCCCTTCAACGTACAGTCACAAAATTAAATGCGTTCATTCAGCACCATGTTGTGACTGTACTGCCCAATTTTGAAGAAGATCCGTTAGAACATGTCAGAGGAAATCATTCAAATAGAAGCCCTGAAAGGCCAAAATGACATCACAGTGTGACATTTGTTCTAAATGGCCAACTTTGAGGGCACGCCACGGACACGCCCTTCAACGTACAGCCACAAAATATAATGCGTTCATTCAGCACCATGTTTTGACTGTACTGACCAATTTTGAAGCAGATCTGATAAATTCCCTAGGAGCAGTTAGTTCTAAAACAAGCCCAAAGAGTCAAAATGACCACAAAATGGCCGCCAAAAGTGCAAATTTTAAATGAAAATAGCCGACTTCCTGTGGGATTTGAGGTATGGGTCCAAGAGGCTTTTTTGTACGCCCCGGCACATTATACATGCCTATTGAGTTTCGTACATGTCAGTGAAACGTGGCGCCGGGGCTGATGTTTTTTTTATCCTGTAGGGGGCGCTACAAGCAGGACAAACAGGATTTTTGGTATGTGAGCTTCAGGCACCACTCTACACGTACCCTGTGAATTTCATATTCATAACTATTACGAGTGATTTATCATGCCAAAAGAGCACCACCTAGTGGCGTATTTTTTTGTCCTTTTTAAGTGAGCCTCAGGGAGCCATGGGGAAGCAGCGTACCAAGTTTCATCTTAATCACGCATACCGTTGTAGAGCTATAAACTCCTTCATTTTAAAGAGCGCCACCTTGTGGTGATGACCTGAAATTGTGCACGATGCTTAAGGAAGACATGGGGAACTATGGACCCAAGGTTGGTGTAAATCGGACATACCAATGTGGAGAAATACCCCACTTCCTTTTTTGACGAAAAATCAACAGGAAGTGCTAATTGTATAACTTCCTTATGTTTTATAATATCAAAATTCTTCAAATTACTTTTGTTGTCAGGACGGTCCATAGATGAAACGTGCAAAGTTTCGTGCGCATTGGAAAAAATGTGTAGGAGGAACACGAAAAAGTGATTTATGGACATTTTGCGCTCTAGAAAAAAAAAAATCATGGCGGAAGTGGGCGTGGCCTATATGGGGAGGTTCAGCTCCATTCACTGAACGCGTGGATATAAGGTTTTTGAATGTGAGACAAACTATGCGGGAGTTATTAGCGTATCGAAATTGGCCTACAAATAGCGCCACCTAGTGGCCTTCCTAGTGGCTGACCTGCATGTGACGCATAGAATCTCCAATTTAAATGAGGCTTGACAAATGTGCCAAATAAAATGCGAATATTATAATTGTTAAGGGGGTGAAAAATGCGAGCAAAGTCGCTAAAAATAATAATAATAATAATAATTAAAGCTGCAAGCAGCGTTGGGCGGGACCTCGCACCCGGCGCTCGTCGGGGCGGGCCGCAAACGCGTCACGTGCGGTCGGGGTGCGCCGAGGCCACGCACGTGCCGTCGTAACAAGCGCGTACCGCAACGCGAATACGTCACGTAAATCTGCTCCAAATCAGCTCCGTATCGCCACGCAGCGCTTCCTTCCTGGTGCCAGTATGCTGTGCTTTCACTTTATCTGAATCTTGTCACGTAGACAAGTTCATGGCGGGACAGTAATACGTAGGCTGATGTTATGAGGACGCGTTCAGGGCGAGACTGTTACAGAATATATGAAGTTTATTGGAAATTGGACATTGCACACTGAAGTTACGAGTACCGTTTCATGGAAAATGGTCTGAATTCGACAAGGGGTCAGTGGCACGCGGTTTGACGTACAGTCACAAATAGCTCAATTCTTCATGTACACTTTGTTTTTATAAGACTGTCCAATTATAGCGGTTTCCCACTATGCTCCACGAACAATACTCCCTAGGAAATATGGTTTGTAGATGTGGCTAGTGGGAGTGGAGGGGTGTTTGTGTTTCATCACTTTGAAAAAAAAGACCACAGAATTCAAAATGTCCAACTTTGACGAGACACCTGGGACACGCCCTTCAACGTACAGTCATAAATAGCACAACTTGTAATCAGCAAGATTATTCAAGAGTACTGTCAAGTTTTGAAGCAGATCTGATCAATTCTCAAGGAGTTTGTTTGTTCAAATACAGGACCACGGGCTTCAAAATGGCCAACTTTGACGGCAGGCCACGGACACGCCCTTCAACGTACAGTCACAAAATGAAATGCGTTCATTCAGCACCATGTTGTGACTGTACTGCCCAATTTTGAAGAAGATCCGTTAGAAAGTGTAGGAGCAGATCATTCAAATAGAAGCCCTGAAATGCAAAAATGACATCACAGTGACATTTGTTCTAAATGGCCGACTTTGAGGGCACGCCACGGACACGCCCTTCAACGTACAGTCACAAAATATAATGCGTTCATTCAGCACCATGTTTTGACTGTACTGACCAATTTTGAAGCAGATCTGATAAATTCCCTAGGAGCAGTTAGTTCTAAAACAAGCCCAAAGAGTCAAAATGACCACAAAATGGCCGCCAAAAGTGCAAATTTTAAATGAAAATAGCCGACTTCCTGTGGGATTTGAGGTATGGGTCCAAGAGGCTTTTTTGTACGCCCCGGCACATTATACATGCCTATTGAGTTTCGTACATGTCGGTGAAACGTGGCGCCGGGGCTGATGTTTTTTTATCCTGTAGGGGGCGCTACAAGCAGGACAAACAGGATTTTTGGTATGTGAGCTTCAGGCACCACTCTACACGTACCCTGTGAATTTCATATTCATAACTATTACGAGTGATTTATCATGCCAAAAGAGCACCACCTAGTGGTGTATTTTTTTTGTCCTTTTTAGGTGAGCCTCAGGGAGCCATGGGGAAGCAGCGTACCAAGTTTCATCTTAATCACACTTGCCGATGCAGAGATATAAACTCCTTCATTTTAAAGAGCGCCACCTAGTGGTGATGACCTGAAATTGTGCACGATACATAATGAAGACATGGGGAACTATTGACCCAAGGTTGGTGTAAATCGGACATACCAACGTGGAGAAATACCCCACTTCCTTTTTTGACGAAAAATCAACAGGAAGTGCTAATTGTATAACTTCCTTATGTCTTATAATATCAAAATTCTTCAAATTACTTTTGTTGTCAGGACGGTCCACAGATGAAACGTGCAAAGTTTCGTGCGCATCGGAAAAAGTGTGTAGGAGGAACACGAAAAAGTGATTTATGGACATTTTGCGCTCTAGAAAAAAAAAAAATCTAGGCGGAAGTGGGCGTGGCCTATATGGGGAGGTTCAGCTCCATTCACCGAACGCGTGGATATAAGGTTTTTGAATGTGAGACAAACTATGCGGGAGTTATTAGCGTAACGAAATTGGCCTACAAACAGCGCCACCTAGTGGCCTTCCTAGTGGCTGACCTGCATGTGACGCATAGAATCTCCAATTTAAATGAGGCTTGACAAATGTGCCAAATAAAATGCCAATATTTTAAATGATTAGGGGGTGAAAAATGCGAGCAAAGTCGCTAAAAATAATAATAATAATAATAATAATAAACGAAGGAAAAACAATAGAGACCTTCCAGTTCATACTGGCTCGGTCCCTAATTAAAGCTGCAAGCAGCGTTGGGCGGGACCTCGCACCCGGCGCTCGTCGGGGCGCGCCGCAAACGCGTCACGTGCGGTCGGGGTGCGCCGAGGCCACGCCACGTGTCGTCGTAACAAGCGCGTACCGCAACGCGAATACGTCACGTAAATCTGCTCCAAATCAGCTCCGTATCGCCACGCAGCGCTTCCTTCCTGTTGCCAGTATGCTGTGCTTTCACTTTATCTGAATCTTGTCACGTAGACAAGTTCAGGGCGGGCCTGTAATACGTAGGCTGATGTTATGAGGACGCGTTCAGGTCGAGACTGTTACAGAATATATGAAGTGTATTGGAAATTGGACATTGCACACTGAAGTTATGAGTACCGCTTAATGGAAAATCATCTGAATTCGACAAGGGGTCAGTGGCACGCAGTTTGACGTACAGTCACAAATAGCTCAATTCTTCATGTACACTTTGTTTTTATAAGACTGTCCAATTTTGAAGTCGATTTGATAAGTCCCCTATTTATCTTGCAATTTAATAAGTGACTTCCAGCGGTTTCACACTATGCTCCACGAACAATACTCCCTAGGAAATATGGTTTGTAGATGTGGCTAGTGGGAGCGGAGGGGTGTTTGTGTTTCATCACTTTGAAAAAAAAGACCACAGAATTCAAAATGTGCAACTTTGACGAGACACCTGGGACATGCCCTTCAACGTACAGTCATAAATAGCACAACTTGTAATCAGCAAGATTATTCAAGAGTACTGTCAAGTTTTGAAGCAGATCTGATCAATTCTCAAGGAGTTTGTTTGTTCAAATACAGGACCACGGGCTTCAAAATGGCCACCTTTGACGGCACGCCACGGACACGCCCTTCAACGTCCAGTCATAAATAGCACAACTTGTAATCAGCAAGATTATTCAAGAGTCCTATAAAGTTTTGAAGCAGATCTGATCAATTCTCAAGGAGTTTGTTTGTTCAAATACAGGACCACGGGCTTCAAAATGGCCAACTTTGACGGCAGGCCACGGACACGCCCTTCAACGTACAGTCAAAAAATGAAATGCGTTCATTCAGCACCATGTTGTGACTGTACTGCCCAATTTTGAAGAAGATCCGTTAGAACGTGTCAGAGTAAATCATTCAAATAGAAGCCCTGAAAGGCCAAAATGACATCACAGTGTGACATTTGTTCTAAATGGCCAACTTTGAGGGCACGCCACGGACACGCCCTTCAACGTACAGTCACAAAATATATTGCTTTCATTCAGCACCACGTTGTGACTGTACTGCCCAATTTTGAAGAAGATCCGTTAGAACGTGTCAGAGGAAATCATTCAAATAGAAGCCCTGAAAGGCCAAAATGACATCACAGTGTGACATTTGTTCTAAATGGCCAACTTTGAGGGCACGCCACGGACACGCCCTTCAACGTACAGTCACCAAATAATTTGCGTTCATTCAGCCCCATGTTGTGACTGGACTGCCCAATTTTGAAGAAGATCTGATAGAAGCTGTAGGAGGGGATCATTCAAATAGAAGCCCTGAAATGCAAAAATGACATCACAGTGACATTTGTTCTAAATGGCCAACTTTGAGGGCACGCCACGGACACGCCCTTCAACGTACAGTCACAAAATATAATGCGTTCATTCAGCACCATGTTTTGACTGTACTGACCAATTTTTGAAGCAGATCTGATAAATTCCCTAGGAGCAGTTAGTTCTAAAACAAGCCCAAAGAGTCAAAATGACCACAAAATGGCCGCCAAAAGTGCAAATTTTAAATGAAAATAGCCGACTTCCTGTGGGATTTGAGGTATGGGTCCAAGAGGCTTTTTTGTACGCCCCGGCACATTATACATGCCTATTGAGTTTCGTACATGTCGGTGAAACGTGGCGCCGGGGCTGATGTTTTTTTATCCTGTAGGGGGCGCTACAAGCAGGACAAACAGGATTTTTGGTATGTGAGCTTCAGGCACCACTCTACACGTACCCTGTGAATTTCATATTCATAACTATTACGAGTGATTCATCATGCCAAAAGAGCACCACCTAGTGGCGTATTTTTTTGTCCTTTTTAGGTGAGCCTCAGGGAGCCATGGGGAAGCAGCGTACCAAGTTTCATCTTAATCACACTTGCCGATGCAGAGATATAAACTCCTTCATTTTAAAGAGCGCCACCTAGTGGTGATGACCTGAAATTGTGCACGATACATAATGAAGACATGGGGAACTATTGACCCAAGGTTGGTGTAAATCGGACATACCAACGTGGAGAAATACCCCACTTCCTTTTTGACGAAAAATCAACAGGAAGTGCTAATTGTATAACTTCCTTATGTTTTTTAATATCAAAATTCTTCAAATTACTTTTGTTGTCAGGACGGTCCACAGATGAAACGTGCAAAGTTTCGTGCGCATCGGACAAAGTGTGTAGGAGGAACACGAAAAAGTGATTTATGGACATTTTGCGCTCTAGAAAAAAAAAAATCTAGGCGGAAGTGGGCGTGGCCTATATGGGGAGGTTCAGCTCCATTCACCGAACGCGTGGATATAAGGTTTTTGAATGTGAGACAAACTATGCGGGAGTTATTAGCGTAACGAAATTGGCCTACAAACAGCGCCACCTAGTGGCCTTCCTAGTGGCTGACCTGCATGTGACGCATAGAATCTCCAATTTAAATGAGGCTTGACAAATGTGCCAAATAAAATGCCAATATTTTAAATGATTAGGGGGTGAAAAATGCGCTCAAAGATCCTAAAAATAATAATAATAATAATAATAATAATAAACGAAGGAAAAACAATAGAGACCTTCCAGTTCATACTGGCTCGGTCCCTAATTAAAGCTGCAAGCAGCGTTGGGCGGGACCTCGCACCCGGCGCTCGTCGGGGCGCCGCAAACACGTCACGTGCGGTCGGGGTGCGCCGAGGCCACGCACGTGCTGTCGTTACAAGCGCGTACCGCAACGCGAATACGTCACGTAAATCTGCTCCAAATCAGCTCCGTATCGCCACGCAGCGCTTCCTTCCTGGTGCCAGTATGCTGTGCTTTCACTTTATCTGAATCTTGTCACGTAGACAAGTTCAGGGCTGGACTGTAATACGTAGGCTGATGTTATGAGGACGTGTTCAGGGCGAGACTGTTACAGAATATATGAAGTTTATTGGAAATTGGACATTGCACACTGAAGTTACGAGTACCGCTTAATGGAAAATCATCAGAATTTGATAAGGGGTCAGTGGCACGCAGTTTGACGTACAGCCACAAATAGCTCAATTCTTCATGTACACTTTGTTTTTATAAGACTGTCCAATTTTGAAGTCGATTTGATAAGTCCCCTATTTATCTCGCAATTTAATAAGTGACTTCCAGCGGTTTCACACTATGCTCCACGAACAATACTCCCTAGGAAATATGGTTTGTAGATGTGGCTAGTGGGAGCGGAGGGGTGTTTGTGTTTCATCACTTTGAAAAAAAAAGACCACAGAATTTAAAATGTCCAACTTTGACGAGACACCTGTGACACGCCCTTCAACGTACAGTCATAAATAGCACAACTTGTAATCAGCAAGATTATTCAAGAGTACTGTCAAGTTTTGAAGCAGATCTGATAAAGTCTCAAGGAGTTTGTTTGTTCAAATACAGGACCACGGGCTTCAAAATGGCCACCTTTGACGGCACGCCACGGACACGCCCTTCAACGTACAGTCACAAAATGAAATGCGTTCATTCAGCACCATGTTGTGACTGTACTGCCCAATTTTGAAGAAGATCCGTTAGAACGTGTCAGAGGAAATCATTCAAATAGAAGCCCTGAAAGGCCAAAATGACATCACAGTGTGACATTTGTTCTAAATGGCCAACTTTGAGGGCACGCCACGGACACGCCCTTCAACGTACAGTCACCAAATATAATGCGTTCATTCAGCACCATATTGTGAGTGTACTGCCCAATTTTGAAGAAGATCCGTTAGAACGTGTCAGAGGAAATCATTCAAATAGAAGCCCTGAAAGGCCAAAATGACATCACAGTGTGACATTTGTTCTAAATGGCCAACTTTGAGGGCACGCCACGGACACGCCCTTCAACGTACAGTCACCAAATATTATGTGTTCATTCAGCCCCATGTTGTGACTGGACTGCCCAATTTTGAAGAAGATCCGATAGAAGCTGTAGGAGGGGATCATTCAAATAGAAGCCCTGAAATGCAAAAATGACATCACAGTGACATTTGTTCTAAATGGCCAACTTTGAGGGCACGCCACGGACACGCCCTTCAACGTACACTCACAAAATATAATGCGTTCATTCAGAACCATGTTTTGACTGTACTGACCAATTTTGAAGCAGATCTGATAAATTCCCTAGGAGCAGTTAGTTCTAAAACAAGCCCAAAGAGTCAAAATGAGCACAAAATGGCCGCCAAAAGTGCAAATTTTAAATGAAAATAGCCGACTTCCTGTGGGATTTGAGGTATGGGTCCAAGAGGCTTTTTTTTACGCCCCGGCACATTATACATGCCTATTGAGTTTCGTACATGTCGGTGAAACGTGGCGCCGGGGCTGATGTTTTTTTATCCTGTAGGGGGCGCTACAAGCAGGACAAACAGGATTTTTGGTATGTGAGCTTCAGGCACCACTCTACACGTACCCTGTGAATTTCATATTCATAACTATTACGAGTGATTCATCATGCCAAAAGAGCACCACCTAGTGGCGTATTTTTTTTGTCCTTTTTAGGTGAGCCTCAGGGAGCCATGGGGAAGCAGCGTACCAAGTTTCATCTTAATCACACTTGCCGATGCAGAGATATAAACTCCTTCATTTTAAAGAGCGCCACCTAGTGGTGATGACCTGAAATTGTGCACGATACATAATGAAGACATGGGGAACTATTGACCCAAGGTTGGTGTAAATCGGACATACCAACGTGGAGAAATACCCCACTTCCTTTTTTGACGAAAAATCAACAGGAAGTGCTAATTGTATAACTTCCTTATGTTTTTTAATATCAAAATTCTTCAAATTACTTTTGTTGTCAGGACGGTCCACAGATGAAACGTGCAAAGTTTCGTGCGCATCGGACAAAGTGTGTAGGAGGAACACGAAAAAGTGATTTATGGACATTTTGCGCTCTAGAAAAAAAAAAAATCATGGCGGAAGTGGGCGTGGCCTATATGGGGAGGTTCAGCTCCATTCACCGAACGCGTGGATATAAGGTTTTTGAATGTGAGACAAACTATGCGGGAGTTATTAGCGTAACGAAATTGGCCTACAAACAGCGCCACCTAGTGGCCTTCCTAGTGGCTGACCTGCATGTGACGCATAGAATCTCCAATTTAAATGAGGCTTGACAAATGTGCCAAATAAAATGCCAATATTTTAAATGATTAGGGGGTGAAAAATGCGCTCAAAGATCCTAAAAATAATAATAATAATAATAATAATAATAATAAACGAAGGAAAAACAATAGAGACCTTCCAGTTCATACTGGCTCGGTCCCTAATTAAAGCTGCAAGCAGCGTTGGGCGGGACCTCGCACCCGGCGCTCGTCGGGGCGGGCCGCAAACGCGTCACGTGCGGTCGGGGTGCGCCGAGGCCACGCACGTGCCGTCGTAACAAGCGCGGACCGCAACGCGAACACGTCACGTAAATCTGCTCCAAATCAGCTCCGTATCGCCACGCAGCGCTTCCTTCCTGTGGCCAGTATGCTGTGCTTTCACTTTATCTGAATCTTGTCACGTAGACAAGTTCAGGGCGGGACTGTAATACGTAGGCTGATGCAATGAGGACGCGTTTAGGGCGAGACTGTTACAGAATATATGAAGTTTATTGGAAATTGGACATTGCACACTGAAGTTATGAGTACCGTTTAATGGAAAATGGTCTGAATTCGACAAGGGGTCCGTGGCACGCAGTTTGACGTACAGTTACAAATAGCTCAATTCTTCATGTACACTTTGTTTTTATAAGACTGTCCAATTTTGAAGTCGATTTGATAAGTCCCCTATTTATCTTGCAATTTAATAAGTGACTTCCAGCGGTTTCCCACTATGCTCCACGAACAATACTCCCTAGGAAATATGGTTTGTAGATGTGTCTAGTGGGAGCGGAGGGGTGTTTGTGTTTCATCACTTTGAAAAAAAAGACCACAGAATTCAAAATGGCCAACTTGGACGAGACACCAGGGACACGCCCTTCAACGTACAGTCATAAATAGCACAACTTGTAATCAGCAAGATTATTCAAGAGTACTGTCAAGTTTTGAAGCAGATCTGATCAATTCTCAAGGAGTTTGTTTATTCAAATACAGGACCACAGGCTTCAAAATGGCCAACTTTGGCGGCAGGCCACGGTCACGCCCCTTCAACGTACAGTAACAAAATGAAATGCGTTCATTCAGCACCATGTTGTGACTGTACTGCCCAATTTTGAAGAAGATCCGATAGAACCTGTAGGAGGAGATCATTCAAATAGAAGCCCTGAAAGGCCAAAATGACATCACAGTGTGACATTTGTTCAAAATGGCCAACTTTGAGGGCACGCCACAGACACGCCCTTCAATGTACAGTCACAAAATATAAAGCGTTCATTCAGCACCATGTTGTGACTGGACTGCCCAATTTTGAAGAAGATCCGATAGAATCTGTAGGAGGGCATCATTCAAATAGAAGCCCTGAAATGCAAAAATGACATCACAGTGTGACATTTGTTCAAAATGGCCAACTTTGAGGGCACGCCACGGACACGCCCTTCAACGTACAGTCACCAAATATAATGCGTTCATTCAGCACCATGTTTTGACTGTACTGACCAATTTTGAAGCAGATCCGATAAATTCCCTAGGATCAGTTAGTTCACAAATAAGCCCAAAAGGTCAAAATGACCACAAAATGGCTGCCAAAAGTGCAAATTTTAAATGAAAATAGCCGACTTCCTGTGGGATTTGAGGTATGGGTCCAAGAGGCTTTTTTGTACGCCCCGGCACATTATACATGCCTATTGAGTTTCGTACATATTGATGAAACGTGGCGCCGGGGCTGATGTATTTTTTATCCTATAGGGGGCGCTACAAGCACGACAAACCCGATTTTTGGTATGTGAGCTTCAGGCACCACTCTACACGTGCCCAGTGAATTTCATATTCATAACTATTATGGTGTGTGCACAGTGATTTACCCTGCCACCAGAGTGCCACCTAGTGGCGTGATTTTTTTCCTTTTTAGGGGAGCCTCAGGGAGCCATGGGGAAGCAGCGTACCAAGTTTCATTTTAATCACACATACCGTTGTAGAGATATAAACTCCTTCATTTTAAAGAGCGCCACCTTGTGGTGATGACCTGAAATTGTGCACGATGCCTAAGGAAGACATGGGGAACTATGGACCCAAGGTTGGTGTAAATCGGACATACCAACGTGGAGAAATACCCCACTTCCTTTTTTGACGAAAAATCAACAGGAAGTGCTAATTTTATAACTTCCTTATTTTTTAAAATATCAAAAATGTTCAAATTACTTTTGTTGTCAGGGCGGTCCACAGATGCTACGTGCAAAATTTCGTGCAAATCGGACAAAGTGTGTAGGAGGAACCCCGAAACAGTCATTTATGGACATTTTGCGCTCTAGAAAAAAAAAAATCTAGGCGGAAGTGGGCGTGGCCTATATGGGGAGGTTCAGCTCCATTCACCGAACGCGTGGATATAAGGTTTTTGAATGTGAGACAAACTATGCGGGAGTTATTAGCCTATCGAAATTGGCCTAAAAGTAGCGCCACCTAGTGGCCTTCCTAGTGGCTGATCTGCATGTGACGCATAAAATCTCCGAGTTTAATGAGGCTTGACAAATGTGCCAAATAAAATGCGAATATTCTAAATGTTTAGGGGGTGAAAAATGCGCTCAATGTTCTGAAAAATAATAATAAGAATAAACATAGGAAAAACAATATGGACCTTCCAGTTCATACTGGCTCGGTCCCTAATTAAAGCTGCAAGCAGCGTTGGGCGGGACCTCGCACCCGGCGCTCGTCGGGGCGCGCCGCAAACGCGTCACGTGCGGTCGGGGTTTCGCCAAGGCCACGTCACGTGCCGTCGTAACAAGCGCGGACCGCAACGCGAATACGTCACGTAAATCGTCTCCAAATCAGCTCCAAATCGCCACGCAGCGCTTCCTTCCTGTGGCCAGTATGCTGTGGTTTCACTGTATCTGATTCTTGTAACGTAGACAAGTTCATGGCGGGACTGAAATACGTAGGTTGATGTTATGAGGACGTGTTCAGGGCGAGACTGTTACAGAATATATGAAGTTTATTGGAAATTGGACATTGCACACTGAAGTTATGAGTACCGCTTAATGGAAAATCATCTGAATTCGACAAGGGGTCAGTGGCACGCAGTTTGACGTACAGTCACAAATAGCTCAATTCTTCATGTACACTTTGTTTCTATATGACTGTCCAATTTTGAAGTCGATTTGATAAGTCCCCTATTTATCTTGCAATTTAACAAGTGACTTCCAGCGGTTTCACACTATGCTCCACGAACAATACTCCCTAGAAAATATGGTTTGTAGATGTGGCTAGTGGGAGTGGAGGGGTGTTTGTGTTTCATCACTTTGAAAAAAAAGACCACAGAATTCAAAATGTCCAACTTTGACGAGACACTTGGGACAGGCCCTTCAACGTACAGTCATAAATAGCACAACTTGTAATCCGCAAAATTATTCAAGAGTACTGTCAAGTTTTGAAGCAGATGTGATCAATTCTCAAGGAGTTTGTTTGTTCAAATACAGGACCACGGGCTTCAAAATGGCCAACTTTGACGGCAGGCCACGGACACGCCCTTCAACGTACAGTCACAAAATGAAATGCGTTCATTCAGCACCATATTGTGAGTGTACTGCCCAATTTTGAAGAAGATCCGTTAGAACGTGTCAGAGGAAATCATTCAAATAGAAGCCCTGAAAGGCCAAAATGACATCACAGTGTGACATTTGTTCTAAATGGCCAACTTTGAGGGCACGCCACGGACACGCCCTTCACCGTACAGTCACAAAATATAATGCGTTCATTCAGCACCATGTTGTGACTGGACTGTTCAATTTTGAAGAAGATCCGATAGAAGCTGTAGGAGGGCATCATTCAAATAGAAGCCCTGAAATGCAAAAATGACATCACAATGTGACATTAGTTCTAAATGGCCAACTTTGAGGGCACGCCACGGACACGCCCTTCAACGTACAGTCACCAAATATAATGCGTTCATTCAGCACCATGTCTTGACTGTACTGACCAATTTTGAAGCAGATCCGATAAATTCCCTAGGATCAGTTAGTTCACAAAGAAGCCCAAAAGGTCAAAATGACCACAAAATGGCTGCCAAAAGTGCAAATTTTAAATGAAAATAGCCGACTTCCTGTGGGATTTGAGGTATGGGTCCAAGAGGCTTTTTTGTACGCCCCGGCACATTATACTTGCCTATTGAGTTTCGTACATATCGATGAAACGTGGCGCCGGGGCTGATGTTTTTTTATCCTATAGGGGGCGCTACAAGCACGACAAACCCGATTTTTGATATGTGAGCTTCAGGCACCACTCTACACGTGCCCAGTGAATTTCATATTCATAACTATTATGGTGTGTGCACAGTGATTTACCCTGCCACCAGAGTGCCACCTAGTGGCGTGATTTTTTTCCTTTTTAGGGGAGCCTCAGGGAGCCATGGGGAAGCAGCGTACCAAGTTTCATCTTAATCACACATACCGTTGTAGAGATATAAACTCCTTCATTTGAAAGAGCGCCACCTTGTGGTGATGACCTGAAATTGTGCACGATGCCTAAGGAAGACATGGGGAATTATGTACCCAAGCATGGTGTCGATCGGACATACAAATGTGGAGAAATACCCCACTTCCTTTTTTGACGAAAAATCAACAGGAAGTGCTAATTTTATAACACGCTTATTTTTTAAAATATCAAAATTCTTCAAATTACTTTTGTTGTCAGGGCGGTCCACAGATGCTACGTGCAAAATTTCGTGCGAATCGGACAAAGTGTGTAGGATGAACACCAAAAAGTCATTTATGGACATTTTGCGCTCTAGAAAAAAAAAAAATCTAGACGGAAGTGGGCGTGGCCTATATGGGGAGGTTCAGCTCCATTCACCGAACGCGTGGATATAAGGTTTTTGAATGTGAGACAAACTATGCGGGAGTTATTAGCCTTTCAAGATCTTTTTAAATAGCGCCACCTAGTGGCCTACCTAGTGGCTGATCTGCATAGAATCTCCGAGTTTAGAGAAGCTTGACAAATGTGCCAAATAAAATGCGAATATTATAATTGGTAAGGGGGTGAAAAATGCGCTCAATGTTCTGAAAAAGAATAATAATAAACATAGGAAAAACAATAGAGACCTTCCAGTTCAGTGAACTGGCTCGGTCCCTAATTAAAGCTGCAAGCAGCGTTGGGCGGGACCTCGCACCCGGCGCTCGTCGGGGCGCGCCGCAAACGCGTCACGTGCGGTCGGGGTTCGCCGAGGCCACGCCACGTGCCGTCGTAACAAGCGCGGACGGCAACGCGAATACGTCACGTAAAACTGCTCCAAATCAGCTCCGTATCGCCACGCAGCGCTTCCTTCCTGTTGCCAGTATGCTGTGCTTTCACTTTATCTGAATCTTGTCACGTAGACAAGTTCATGGCAGGACAGTAATACGTAGGCTGATGTTATGAGGACGCGTTCAGGGCGAGACTGTTACAGAATATATGAAGTTTATTGGAAATTGGACATTGCACACTGAAGTTATGAGTACCGTTTAATGGAAAATGGTCTGAATTCGACAAGGGGTCAGTGGCACGCAGTTTGACGTACAGTCACAAATAGCTCAATTCTTCATGTACACTTTGTTTTTATAAGACTGTCCAATTATGAAGTCGATTTGATAAGTCCCCTATTTATCTTGCAATTTAATAAGTGACTTCCAGCAGTTTCCCACTATGCTCCACGAACAATACTCCCTAGGAAATATGGTTTGTAGATGTGGCTAGTGGGAGCGGAGGGGTGTTTGTGTTTCATCACTTTGAAAAAAAAGACCACAGAATTCCAAATGTCCAACTTTGACGAAACACCTGGGACACGCCCTTCAACGTACAGTCATAAATAGCACAACTTGTAATCAGCAAGATTATTCAAGAGTCCCGTCAAGTTTTGAAGCCGATCTGATAAATTCTCTAGGAGTTTGTTTGTTCAAATACAAGACCACAGACTTCAAAATGGCCAACTTTGAGGGCACGCCACGGACACGCCGTTCAACGTACAGTCACAAAATGATATGCATTCATTCAGCACCATGTTGTGACTGTACTGCCCAATTTTAAAGAAGATCCGTTAGAACGTGTAGGAGGAGATCATTCAAATAGAAGCCCTGAAAGGCCAAAATGACATCACAGTGTGACATTTGTTCTAAATGGCCAACTTTGAGGGCACTCCACGGACACGCCCTTCAATGTACAGTCACCAAATAATTTGCGTTCATTCAGCCCCACGTTGTGACTGGACTGCCCAATTTTGAAGAAGATCCGATAGAAGCTGTAGGAGGGGATCATTCAAATAGAAGCCCTGAAATGCAAAAATGACATCACAGTGACATTTGTTCTAAATGGCCAACTTTGAGGGCACGCCACGGACACGCCCTTCAACGTACAGTCACAAAATGAAATGCGTTCATTCAGCACCATGTTGTGACTATACTGACCAATTTTGAAGCAGATCTGATAAATTCCCTAGGAGCAGTTAGTTCTAAAACAAGGCCAAAGAGTCAAAATGACCACAAAATGGCCGCCAAAAGTGCAAATTTTAAATGAAAATAGCCGACTTCCTGTGGGATTTGAGGTATGGGTCCAAGAGGCTTTTTTGTACGCCCCGGCACATTATACATGCCTATTGAGTTTCGTACATGTCGGTGAAACGTGGCGCCGGGGCTGATGTTTTTTTATCCTGTAGGGGGCGCTACAAGCAGGACAAACAGGATTTTTGGTATGTGAGCTTCAGGCACCACTCTACACGTACCCTGTGAATTTCATATTCATAACTATTACGAGTGATTTATCATGCCAAAAGAGCACCACCTACTGGCGTATTTTTTTTGTCCTTTTTAGGTGAGCCTCAGGGAGCCATGGGGAAGCAGCATACCAAGTTTCATCTTAATCACGCATACCGTTGTAGAGCTATAAACTCCTTCATTTTAAAGAGCGCCACCTTGTGGTGATGACCTGAAATTGTGCACAATGCTTAAGGAAGACATGGGGAACTATGGACCCAAGGTTGATGTAAATCGGACATACCAATGTGGAGAAATACCCCACTTCCTTTTTTGACGAAAAATCAACAGGAAGTGCTAATTTTATAACTTCCTTATTTTTTAAAATATCAAAAATGTTCAAATTACTTTTGTTGTCAGGACGGTCCACAGATGCTACGTGCAAAATTTCGTGCGAATCGGACAAAGTGTGTAGGAGATTCCCCGGAACAGACATTTATGGACATTTTGCGCTCTAGAAAAAAAAAAATCTAGGCGGAAGTGGGCGTGGCCTATATGGGGAGGTTCAGCTCCATTCACCGAACGCGTGGATATAAGGTTTTTGAATGTGAGACAAACTATGCGGGAGTTATTAGCGTATCGAAATTGGCCTACAAATAGCGCCACCTAGTGGCCTTCCTACTGGCCGACCTGCATGTGACGCATGGAATCTCCGATTTAAATGAGGCTTGACAAATGTGCCAAATAAAATGCGAATATTAGAATTGTTAAGGGGGTGAAAAATGCACTCAAAGTTCTGAAAAATAATAATAATTAAAGCTGCAAGCAGCGTTGGGCGGGACCTCGCACCCGGCGCTCGTCGGGGCGCGCCGCAAAGGCGTCACGTGCGGTCGGGTCGCGCCGAGGCCACGCACGTGCCGTCGTAACAAGCGCGTACCGCAACGCGAATACGTCATGTAAATCTGCTCCAAATCAGCTCCGTATCGCCACGCAGCGCTTGCTTCCTGTTGCCAGTATGCTGTGCTTTCACTTTATCTGAATCTTGTCACGTAGACAAGTTCAGGGCGGGACTGTAATACGTAGGCTGATGCAATGAGGACGTGTTCAGGGCGAGACTGTTACAGAATATATGAAGTTTATTGGAGATTGGACATTGCACACTGAAGTTATGAGTACCGCTTAATGGAAAATCATCTGAATTCGACAAGGGGTCAGTGGCACGCAGTTTGACGTACAGTCACAAATAGCTCAATTCTTCATGTACACTTTGTTTTTATAAGACTGTCCAATTTTGAAGACGATTTGATAAGTCCCCTATTTATCTTGCACTTTAATAAGTGACTTCCAGCGGTTTCACACTATGCTCCACGAACAATACTCCCTAGGAAATATGATTTGTAGATGTGGCTAGTGGGAGCGGAGGGGTGTTTGTGTTTCATCACTTTGAAAAAAAAGACCACAGAATTCAAAATGTCCAACTTTGACGAGACACCTGGGACACGCCCTTCAACGTACAGTCATAAATAGCACAACTTGTAATTAGCAAGATTATTCAAGAGTCCCGTCAAGTTTTGAAGCAGATCTGATAAAGTCTCAAGGAGTTTGTTTGTTCAAATACAGGACCACTGGCTTCAAAATGGCCAACTTTGACGGCAGGCCACGGACACGCCCCTTCAACGTACAGTCACAAAATGAAATGCGTTCATTTAGCACCACGTTGTGACTGTACTGCCCAATTTTGAAGAAGATCCGATAGAACCTGTAGGAGGAGGTCATTCAAATAGAAGCCCTGAAAGGCCAAAATGACATCACAGTGTGACATTTGTTCTAAATGGCCAACTTTGAGGGCACGCCACGGACACGCCCTTCAACGTACAGTCACCAAATATATTGCGTTCATTCAGCCCCATGTTGTGACTGGACTGCCCATTTTTGAAGAAGATCCGATAGAAGCTGTAGGAGGGGATCATTCAAATAAAAGCCCTGAAATGCAAAAATGACATCACAGTGACATTTGTTCTAAATGGCCAACTTTGAGGGCACGCCACGGACACACCCTTCAACGTACAGTCACAAAATATAAGGCGTTCATTCAGCACCATGTTTTGACTGTACTGACCAATTTTGAAGCAGATCTGATAAATTCCCTAGGAGCAGTTAGTTCTAAAACAAGCCCAAAGAGTCAAAATGACCACAAAATGGCCGCCAAAAGTGCAAATTTTAAATGAAAATAGCCGACTTCCTGTGAGATTTGAGGTATGGGTCCAAGAGGCTTTTTTGTACGCCCCGGCACATTATACATGCCTACCGAGTTTCGTACATGTCGGTGAAACGTGGCGCCGGGGCTGATGTTTTTTTATCCTGTAGGGGGCGCTACAAGCAGGACAAACAGGATTTTTGGTATGTGAGCTTCAGGCACCACTCTACACGTACCCTGTGAATTTCATATTCATAACTATTACGAGTGATTTATCATGCCAAAAGAGCACCACCTAGTGGCGTATTTTTTTTGTCCTTTTTAAGTGAGCCTCAGGGAACCATGGGGAAGCAGCGTACCAAGTTTCATCTTAATCACGCATACCGTTGTAGAGCTATAAACTCCTTCATTTTAAAGAGCGCCACCTTGTGGTGATGACCTGAAATTGTGCACGATGCTTAAGGAAGACATGGGGAACTATGGACCCAAGGTTGGTGTAAATCGGACATACCAACGTGGAGAAATACCCCACTTCCTTTTTTGACGAAAAATCAACAGGAAGTGCTAATTTTATAACTTCCTTATTTTTTAAAATATCAAAAATGTTCAAATTACTTTTGTTGTCAGGACGGTCCACAGATGCTACGTGCAAAATTTCGTGCGAATCGGACAAAGTGTGTAGGAGATTCCCCAGAACAGACATTTATGGACATTTTGCGCTCTAGAAAAAAAAAAATCTAGGCGGAAGTGGGCGTGGCCTATATGGGGAGGTTCAGCTCCATTCACCGAACGCGTGGATATAAGGTTTTTGAATGTGAGACAAACTATGCGGGAGTTATTAGCGTATCGAAATTGGCCTACAAATAGCGCCACCTAGTGGCCTTCCTAGTGGCCGACCTGCATGTGACGCATGGAATCTCCGATTTAAATGAGGCTTGACAAATGTGCCAAATAAAATGTGAATATTAGAATTGTTAAGGGGGTGAAAAATGCACTCAAAGTTCTGAAAAATAATAATAATAATAATAAACGAAGCAAAAACAATAGGGACCTCCTGCGGTCGGTTGCGAATGGTCCCCTAATTAAAGCTGCAAGCAGCGTTGGGCGGGACCTCGCACCCGGCGCTCGTCGGGCGCGCCGCAAACGCGTCACGTGCGGTCGGGGGTGCGCCGAGGCCACGCACGTGCCGTCGTAACAAGCGCGTACCGCAACGCGAATACGTCACGTAAATCAGCTCCAAATCAGCTCCGTATCGCCACGCAGCGCTTCCTTCCTGTTGCCAGTATGCTGTGCTTTCACTTTATCTGAATCTTGTCACGTAGACAAGTTCAGGGCAGGACTGTAATACGTAGGCTGATGTTATGAGGGACGCGTTCAGGGCGAGACTGTTACAGAATATATGAAGTTTATTGGAAATTGGACATTGCACACTGAAGTTATGAGTACCGCTTAATGGAAAATCATCTGAATTCGACAAGGGGTCAGTGGCACGCAGTTTGACGTACAGTCACAAATAGCTCAATTCTTCATGTACACTTTGTTTTTATAAGACTGTCCAATTTTGAAGTCGATATGATAAGTCCCCTATTTATCTTGCAATTTAATAATTGACTTCCAGCGGTTTCACACTATGCTCCACGAACAATACTCCCTAGGAAATATGGTTTGTAGATGTGGCTAGTGGGAGTGGAGGGGTGTTTGTTTTTCATCACTTTGAAAAAAAGACCACAGAAATCAAAATGTCCAACTTTGACGTGACACCTGGGACACGGCCTTCAACGTACAATCATAAATAGCACAACTTGTAATCAGCAAGATTATTCAAGAGTCCCGTCAAGTTTTGAAGCCGATCTGATAAATTCTCTAGGAGTTTGTTTGTTCAAATACAAGACCACAGACTTCAAAATGGCCAACTTTGAGGGCACGCCACGGACACGCCGTTCAACGTACAGTCACAAAATGATATGCATTCATTCAGCACCATGTTGTGACTGTACTGCCCAATTTTGAAGAAGATCCGTTAGAACGTGTAGGAGGAGATCATTCAAATAGAAGCCCTGAAAGACCAAAATGACATCACAGTGTGACATTTGTTCTAAATGGCCAACTTTGAGGGCACACCACGGACACGCCCTTCAACGTACAGTCACAAAATATAATGCTTTCATTCAGCACCACGTTGTGACTGTACTGCCCAATTTTGAAGAAGATCCGTTAGAACGTGTCAGAGGAAATCATTCAAATAGAAGCCCTGAAAGGCCAAAATGACATCACAGTGTGACATTTGTTCTAAATGGCCAACTTTGAGGGCACGCCACGGACACGCCCTTCAACGTACAGTCACCAAATAATTTGCGTTCATTCAGCCCCATGTTGTGACTGGACTGCCCAATTTTGAAGAAGATCCGATAGAAGCTGTAGGAGGGGATCATTCAAATAGAAGCCCTGAAATGCAAAAATGACATCACAGTGACATTTGTTCTAAATGGCCAACTTTGAGGGCACGCCACGGACACGCCCTTCAACGTACAGTCACAAAATATAATGCGTTCATTCAGCACCATGTTTTGACTGTACTGACCAATTTTGAAGCAGATCTGATAAATTCCCTAGGAGCAGTTAGTTCTAAAACAAGCCCAAAGAGTCAAAATGACCACAAAATGGCCGCCAAAAGTGCAAATTTTAAATGAAAATAGCCGACTTCCTGTGGGATCTGAGGTATGGGTCCAAGAGGCTTTTTTGTACGCCCCGGCACATTATACATGCCTATTGAGTTTCGTACATGTCGGTGAAACGTGGCGCCGGGGCTGATGTTTTTTATCCTGTAGGGGGCGCTACAAGCAGGACAAACAGGATTTTTGGTATGTGAGCTTCAGGCACCACTCTACACGTGCCCTGTGAATTTCATATTCATAACTATTACGAGTGATTTATCATGCCAAAAGAGCACCACCTAGTGGCGTATTTTTTTTGTCCTTTTTAAGTGAGCCTCAGGGAGCCATGGGGAAGCAGCGTACCAAGTTTCATCTTAATCACGCATACCGTTGTAGAGCTATAAACTCCTTCATTTTAAAGAGCGCCACCTTGTGGTGATGACCTGAAATTGTGCACAATGCTTAAGGAAGACATGGGGAACTATGGACCCAAGGTTGATGTAAATCGGACGTACCAATGTGGAGAAATACCCCACTTCCTTTTTGACGAAAAATCAACAGGAAGTGCTAATTTTATAACTTCCTTATTTTTTAAAATATCAAAAATGTTCAAATTACTTTTGTTGTCAGGACGGTCCACAGATGCTACGTGCAAAATTTCGTGCGAATTGGACAAAGTGTGTAGGAGATTCCCTGGAACAGACATTTATGGACATTTTGCGCTCTAGAAAAAAAAAAATCTAGGCGGAAGTGGGCGTGGCCTATATGGGGAGGTTCAGCTCCATTCACCGAACGCGTGGATATAAGGTTTTTGAATGTGAGACAAACTATGCGGGAGTTATTAGCGTAACGAAATTGGCCTACAAATAGCGCCACCTAGTGGCCTTCCTACTGGCCGACCTGCATGTGACGCATGGAATCTCCGATTTAAATGAGGCTTGACAAATGTGCCAAATAAAATGCGAATATTAGAATTGTTAAGGGGGTGAAAAATGCACTCAAAGTTCTGAAAAATAATAATAATTAAAGCTGCAAGCAGCGTTGGGCGGGACCTCGCACCCGGCGCTCATCGGGGCACGCGCCGCAAACGCGTCACGTGCGGTTGGGGTTCGCCGAGGCCACGCCACGTGCCGTCGTAACAAGCGCGGACGGCAACGCGAATACGTCACGTAAAAACTGCTCCAAATCAGCTCCGTATCGCCACGCAGCGCTTCCTTCCTGTTGCCAGTATGCTGTGCTTTCACTTTATCTGAATCTTGTCACGTAGACAAGTTCATGGACGGGACTGTAATACGTAGGCTGATGTTATGAGGACGCGTTCAGGGCGAGACTGTTACAGAATATATGAAGTTTATTGGAAATTGGACATTGCACACTGAAGTTATGAGTACTGCTTAATGGAAAATCATCTGAATTCGACAAGGGGGTCAGTGGCACGCAGTTTGACGTACAGTCACAAATAGCTCAATTCTTCACGTACACTTTGTTTTTATAAGACTGTCCAATTTTGAAGTTGATATGATAAGTCCCCTATTTATCTTGCAATTTAATAAGTGGCTTCCAGCAGTTTCCCACTGCTCCACGAACAATACTCCCTAGGAAATATGGTTTGTAGATGTGGCTAGTGGGGAGTGGAGGGGTGTTTGTTTTTCATCACTTTGAAAAAAAGACCACAGAAATCAAAATGTCCAACTTTGACGTGACACCTGGGACACGCCCTTCAACGTACAGTCATAAATAGCACAACTTGTAATCAGCAAGATTATTCAAGAGTCCCGTCAAGTTTTGAAGCCGATCTGATAAATTCTCTAGGAGTTTGTTTGTTCAAATACAAGAACACAGACTTCAAAATGGCCAACTTTGAGGGCACGCCACGGACACGCTGTTCAACGTACAGTCACAAAATGATATGCATTCATTCAGCACCATGTTGTGACTGTACTGCCCAATTTTAAAGAAGATCCGTTAGAACTTGTAGGAGCAGATCATTCAAATAGAAGCCCTGAAAGGCCGAAATGACATCACAGTGTGACATTTGTTCTAAATGGCCATCTTTGAGGGCACGCCACGGACACGCCCTTCAACGTACAGTCACCAAATATAATGTGTTCATTCAGCCCCATGTTGTGACTGGACTGCCCAATTTTGAAGAAGATCCGATAGAAGCTGTAGGAGGGGATCATTCAAATAGAAGCCCTGAAATGCAAAAAATGACATCACAGTGACATTTGTTCTAAATGGCCAACTTTGAGGGCACGCCACGGACGCGCCCTTCAACGTACAGTCACAAAATATAAGGCGTTCATTCAGCACCATGTTGTGACTGTACTGACCAATTTTGAAGCAGATCTGATAAATTCCCTAGGAGCAGTTAATTCTAAAACAAGCCCAAAGAGTCAAAATGACCACAAAATGGCCGCCAAAAGTGCAAATTTTAAATGAAAATAGCCGACTTCCTGTGGGATTTGAGGTATGGGTCCAAGAGGCTTTTTGTACGCCCCGGCACATTATACATGCCTATTGAGTTTCGTACATGTCGGTGGAAACGTGGCGCCGGGGCTGATGTTTTTTATCCTGTAGGGGGCGCTACAAGCAGGACAAACAGGATTTTTGGTATGTGAGCTTCAGGCACCGCTCTACACGTACCCTGTGAATTTCATATTCATAACTATTACGAGTGATTTATCATGCCAAAGAGCACCACCTAGTGGCGTATTTTTTTGTCCTTTTAGGTGAGCCTCAGGGAGCCATGGGGAAGCAGCGTACCAAGTTTCATCTTAATCACACTTGCCGATGCAGAGATATAAACTCCTTCATTTTAAAGAGCGCCACCTAGTGGTGATGACCTGAAATTGTGCACGATACATAATGAAGACATGGGGAACTATTGACCCAAGGTTGGTGTAAATCGGACATACCAACGTGGAGAAATACCCCACTTCCTTTTTGACGAAAAATCAACAGGAAGTGCTAATTGTATAACTTCCTTATGTTTTATAATATCAAAATTCTTCAAATTACTTTTGTTGTCAGGACGGTCCACAGATGAAACGTGCAAAGTTTCGTGCGCATCGGAAAAAGTGTGTAGGAGGAACACGAAAAAGTGATTTATGGACATTTTGCGCTCTAGAAAAAAAAAAATCTAGGCGGAAGTGGGCGTGGCCTATATGGGGAGGTTCAGCTCCATTCACCGAACGCGTGGATATAAGGTTTTGAATGTGAGACAAACTATGCGGGAGTTATTAGCGTAACGAAATTGGCCTACAAACAGCGCCACCTAGTGGCCTTCCTAGTGGCTGACCTGCATGTGACGCATAGAATCTCCAATTTAAATGAGGCTTGACAAATGTGCCAAATAAAATGCCAATATTTTAAATGATTAGGGGGTGAAAAATGCGAGCAAAGTCGCTAAAAATAATAATAATAATAATAATAATAAACGAAGGAAAAACAATAGAGACCTTCCAGTTCATACTGGCTCGGTCCCTAATTAAAGCTGCAAGCAGCGTTGGGCGGGACCTCGCACCCGGCGCTCGTCGGGGCGCCGCAAACACGTCACGTGCGGTCGGGGTGCGCCGAGGCCACGCACGTGCTGTCGTTACAAGCGCGTACCGCAACGCGAATACGTCACGTAAATCTGCTCCAAATCAGCTCCGTATCGCCACGCAGCGCTTCCTTCCTGTGGCCAGTATGCTGTGCTTTCACTTTATCTGAATCTTGTCACGTAGACAAGTACAGGGCGGGACTGTAATACGTAGGCTGATGTTATGAGGACGCGTTCAGGGCGAGACTGTTACAGAATATATGAAGTTTATTGGAAATTGGACATTGCACACTGAAGTTACGAGTACCGCTTAATGGAAAATCATCAGAATTTGACAAGGGGTCAGTGGCACGCAGTTTGACGTACAGCCACAAATAGCTCAATTCTTCATGTACACTTTGTTTTTATAAGACTGTCCAATTTTGAAGTCGATTTGATAAGTCCCTTATTTATCTTGCAATTTAATAAGTGACTTCCAGCGGTTTCACACTATGCTCCACGAACAATACTCCCTAGGAAATATGGTTTGTAGATGTGGCTAGTGGGAGCGGAGGGGTGTTTGTGTTTCATCACTGAAAAAAAAGACCACAGAATTCAAAATGTGCAACTTTGACAAGACACCAGGGACAGGCCCTTCAACGTACAGTCATAAATAGCACAACTTGTAATCAGCAAGATTATTCAAGAGTCCCGTCAAGTTTTGAAGCCGATCTGATAAATTCTCTAGGAGTTTGTTTGTTCAAATACAAGACCACAGACTTCAAAATGGCCAACTTTGAGGGCACGCCACGGACACGCCATTCAACGTACAGTCACAAAATGAAATGCGTTCATTCAGCACCATGTTGTGACTGTACTGCCCAATTTTGAAGAAGATCCGATAGAAGCTGTAGGAGGGCATCATTCAAATAGAAGCCCTGAAATGCCAAAATGACATCACAGTGTGACATTTGTTCTAAATGGCCAACTTTGAGGGCACGCCACGGACACGCCCTTCAACGTACAGTCACAAAATATAATGTGTTCATTCAGCACCATGTTGTGACTGTACTGCCCAATTTTGAAGAAGATCCGTTAGAACGTGTCAGAGGAAATCATTCAAATAGAAGCCCTGAAAGGCCAAAATGACATCACAGTGTGACATTTTGTTCTAAATGGCCAACTTTGAGGGCACGCCACGGACACGCCCTTCAACGTACAGTCACAAAATGATATGCATTCATTCAGCACCATGTTGTGACTGTACTGCCCAATTTTAAAGAAGATCCGTTAGAACGTGTAGGAGGAGATCATTCAAATAGAAGCCCTGAAAGGCCAAAATGACATCACAGTGTGACATTTGTTCTAAATGGCCAACTTTGAGGCCACGCCACGGACACGCCCTGTAACGTACAGTCACCAAATATAATGTGTTCATTCAGCCCCATGTTGTGACTGGACTGCCCAATTTAGAAGAAGATCCGATGGACCTGTAGGAGGGATCATTCAAATAGAAGCCCTGAGAAATGCAAAAATGACATCACAGTGACATTTGTTCTAAATGGCCAACTTTGAGGGCACGCCACGGGCCGCCCTTCAACGTACAGTCACAAAATATAAGGCGTTCATTCAGCACCATGTTGTGACTG